TTGGGTGGAGGTTGGTGAGAGAAGATGAAGGGTTAACGAAGAAGATGAAGGTCCAGCTGTCTTTTTAAGTATCTTCTTTCATGGATTTTTCTTGTCACCTTTTAATTTGTTGGGGTCTCTTCTTCTCAATACTATGAAATAAACATTTGCATTTGTGTGTTATTAAAAGCACAAGTAAATAAGTTTGGTTTCCATGTGAAATTCATCAATTTTCATTAAAAATCTCTAATTTACTCCTTTCATAAAATCTACCTACAAGTCAACAACAAGAAGAAATCTACCATAAGAATCAGTTGAGAAATAGTAAAAAGATTGATTATATCTACAATAACACAAACTTACCAAGTACAACAATAACACATGTACTTGGGAGCCTATAACAACCAATGCTCCTATTAGTTACACAAACTCAGATAAAATCAATACTATAAAGTTGTGGAATGTGATGATAGAATCAGTTATGGAGAGAAAATTGATTTCGATATATAAAAAGGAAAAATCCACAGAATAACAGAATTATATGATTGTGGTCAGTCTCTTATATATGTGATTGGCTACATTTTTATGAAATCTTTAGCTGTGTACAATTTACCAATCAGAATGGGAGTCTATCCCGATTATACCATTAGTTGCTAAACTTACATTTTTTGCATAAATTTTTGTAATTGAGAATGTGTAATCAAATTTCGGAAGAAACCAAATACGATATTTCACGGGAAAAGATATATCAATGTAGCTTTTATGTTGTCATGAAAATGCTTTTAATTACCGTTAGAAAAAGCCATCTCTAAAGACTTCCAAAACTAAAGAGAATAATAATCAAAGAAAAAAGAAATAAAGTGAAGTTGGTGAAAGTTCATAATGGATTAGTTGTAGAGCCATGTGTTCAAAAAAATTCTACATTACACAATTTTGTTATATGAAATGGAGATCTCTACCATTTTGTACTTTAGATTTAATAATGTTAATAAAATATATCAAATTGTAAATGACTAACACTAATCATTCAGAATTTGTAGAGAATACACAAAATACCTACTTTCTACCAATAAAGTACATCTACTCGTAGTTTGTGGTAGATGTGAATTATATAATTTTTGGTTAAGAGTTAGTATAAAACAAGAAACAGAAATAGAACTTGGAACAAAACCCCCCACGTGTGCCAACGACCCACGTGCCGAACATTCCGTTATAGCTACGTGTTGTGGCTGTTTTATTCATTAGCCTTAACAACAATACTTCGTGGGGCACATGCTTCCTTGATTCCTTCCACTTTCACTTCTCCAAATATTTATTTTTTCTTCTTTTTCCATTTTCACTTCTTATAATTCATAAACATTTTTATAAAACAGTGGAGCCAAACGGCATAATTATATGATCTTTACTAGAGAGGAAAAGGGAGAAACAAAAGGTTAATAAGATGGTAAAAAAGCTATAGAAACACGACCGTTGGAGCTCAAGTACCCAAAATTTAGAACCCCAACAAGGCTTTTTTTGCTTTCTGTAAGGTTGGGACCAATCAAATTTATTGCTTTTTCCATGTCTAACTCTGATCTCTCTCTTGTAAAGTTATGGCAACGTTCACAAGAAAACTTCTATAGTCGGACCAAATCTTAACTATAAAGGATTATAGAACCTAGTGACATAGACACAATTCATAAGAGATCATAAATAACACAAGGGCAATAATCCGATTTCCCAATATCTATCTAATCATGTGTTCATAGAAGTCTCCAAGAGTATGGTCAAATATATAACATAAGAGTAAAGGAACTCATCAAATCAAACTTCTTCAAGATAGGTTCATGTCGATACAAAGAGTAGCGAACTAAGAGTGATAATACAAAAGATGATTACCGGCAGTGCAAAGTGATAAAGCTAAGATCTTCCAACTGGTTCAAGAGCTTCCACGGTAACAATGCTGTTTCCTCTTATCACCTGCACCAAGGTAATGTGGAATAATTAAACACAAAAATGATTGAAGATTCTGTGGATTTTAGGAGATTGACAAGAAAAGATTGAGAAACTTACCACCATCCCAATGTCAGTTTTGTCATTACCATTCACTTCAACAGTGTTATCCACAACAAGGTTCATGAATTGGTCAAACCCACGAAGAATTCCAACTACCATTCGGTTGGCATTGAGCTTAACTGCATTGTGGGAAAAAAGAAGAGACAATAACTTCTCTTGACCATACAGAGTTGCAAGAAAGATGATAACAAACAAATGCCAGTAAATTTCTAAATGGGAAACAAGACCAAGGAAGATATCTATAATACAACATTTGCAACCTTTACCAAACAAATAACCGACTGTAATGAGACTAGCAGATTCTTTTAAAGGTACATGGATTTAATATGAACAGTTAGAACGAGAAGAGTCCAACGATCGTTGAACCAATAGAAACAGATGAAAATAACCCAAAAAGCAAAGCAAGATTTTTGCATTGAGCTTAACTACATTGTGAAAAAGACAATAACTTCTCTTGACCATACAAAGTAGCAAGAAAGATGATACCAAACAAATGCCAGTAAATTTCTAGATGAGAAACCAGAACGAGAAACAAGACCAAGGAATCATAATACACCAGTAGCAACCTTTACTAAACAAATAACCGATCGTAATGAGACTAGCAAATTCTTTATATGTTACATTAACAGTATCAACGAGGAAGTGTGCAACAATCGTTGAACCAATAAAAACAGATGAAAATAACCCAAAAAGCTAAGCAAGATTTAATTTGTGCATCAATCACGAAGCTGCACACACACATTTAGCTCATACAGCAAAATCACGCAATCACAAACCTGAAAACTGAGATTGTATGCTAATATATGACTAAGAAATACATGTCGAACTAAGCTTCACCATTTGTTTAAGCAAAAACACGAAAAAAAGCCTCTTAAGTTGAGAGATCGAACTTACTTTGAAGTTTCTTGTCCATGTACCTGAATCACATGAAAAAACAAAACAAACAACGAAGAATCAGACACACACGAAGAAGTAAAAGCTGGAGGAAACCAAAAACCTCCAGGATAAAGGAATACAAACAGAAAAATTGAAAATCAAAAAGAAAGCGAGTAGCGAAACGAAGAACTTACTTCTTGAGATCCGGAGGCTGACCTGATCGACTCATACTTGCAGAGAATCGGAGAAGAAGACGAAGAGGAGAGATTTAGGGTTTTTCTCTCAGCTATGGAAACTTCACTCGATTTCAGAAACAACACAAAAAACGAAACCGACGCGGGTCTGGATAATCTAGAGGGTTAAACCGTCGTCGTTTTCAAGGCCCAGTGTAATTCGAGGCCCCAAAAAGCCTTTTAAAATGGTATTTCAAAACAAAAGTTGTGTAGGGGGTATTCCGAGAATCGAACTCGGGACCTCTCGCACCCGAAGCGAGAATCATACCACTAGACCAAACACCCTCTATGTACAAACACGTATACAAAACATAAATATCCCAAACTTGAAATTGCTCCCGTTTTCAGATTTACTTACCCCTAGCAATTTAATTTGTTACAATTGCTAAAGAAAAGTTTCGATTTTATCATAATTTCTGATGTTCAAGCTCCTTGATTCACGATATCGATGAAATATATAACAAGAATGAGATCAAAGAGTAAACCAAACTTGAGCATTAAAGCAAACACCAATTCTTGCTCATATCAAGCAAGTCTTTTCTTCAATTAAATGGAAGTAGGTGCAAAAAATATTAACTGGATAGTTCATCAATTACTTGATCTTCTTCTTCGGCCTCAACTGCAAATCAACAACAAGAAACAACCAAACAAATGTTTAGAAATCATATCTCTCTACACATGAGCCAAACATGTTTAAATTGATTGGAAGCAAAAGCTTGACCTGGTTGCTGTGACCACACTTCTTCTTTCTACAATTCACTGCCCTCGGGTGGAGACGAGCATAGCACCTGTATTTTCAACCAAAGATTACAACAACTTCAATCAATTTCATGAATCACATGATAACTAGACTCGTTTATTCAAACAAAAGTTAAAACCATTAACAACTGAGAAAAAACAAAAATATATGTTTTTGAAGTCTTACTTGCGGCAAATCATCTTGTCTTGGTTATACTTGCGAGCCAATGCCATCAAAGAAGGTTCAATGATACCTCCCCTAAGCCTCAGGACAAGGTGAAGTGTCGATTCTATAAGCAGAGACCAAACAAAACAAAAATCAAAATACCATTCACAAACTAGAACTTAGAACTTCCTCATGTAGTCACAACATAGAAGTCTATCTATCTACGTTCAAAAGACTCAAAACAATAACCATTTCACTACTCAAAATCAATCCGTTATCGTAGCACAAACTTAATCGGAAATTCAAAACACTAATCCGAGAGATTTCGTAGAAGACGAGTTGAGATAGAGAAATTACCTTTCTGAATATTGTAGTCAGCCAAGGTACGGCCATCTTCAAGCTGTTTTCCGGCGAAGATCAACCTCTGCTGATCCGGAGGAATACCTGAACCAAACCAAAGAATTATCAATGGCTTTAAAATCTCAGTTTAACACAAGCTCAGGAAGAATCAGGCAATTGTATCTCAGAGAGCTATACCATGAAATACCTTCCTTGTCTTGGATCTTAGCTTTGACATTGTCGATCGTGTCGCTGCTCTCTACCTCGAGAGTGATGGTTTTACCAGTTAGGGTTTTCACGAAGATCTGCATTTTTTTCTCCGATTTGTTCTCTTGGCGCACCAACGAAGGGACGAAGACGATACAAGTTCTTTTTCTCGGTATTTTCTAGGGTGGTGTGAAATAAAATATGGGCCTCACTTTCAAAGCCCAATAAAAACTTTTCTTCATTAAACTTTTTCATTTTGTGAAGAAGAGTGTTTTTGTAGGTAATAGAGAAGGGAACACATTGGGACAACAAGGCATGGTCCTATACATCATTTGTGTTGGCTGTGAGATTTTTCTTGCTAATTTACATGATTGGTCGTGAGTTCAAATCCAGGCTCGTTGGTCATAATCATATGATGGTTTATCTGTTAGTCTTCTTCTGGAATTTGGTATTATTGAGATTTGAGTATGATGTTGAAAAATCAAAGGATAACGTATT